AGCAGATGCCCGAAGTTTGACAATGTGATGTCTGTCGTTGTGAAATGCATCAACCAAATCAGATCCAGGGGCTTAAAGCAAAACTCATATTACATTAACTGCTTAGCATTCAGGTTAAAGTTACAATTTCTACCTACATGTAACTATGTAAAGTCCAACCTAGACTAGCCAATTTTGTACAGGGGAAACACTTCTACTTTTCCTTCTGACTTCACTCCTTGCACACAGATATAAAAGGGAGGAAATATCTGCAGACACTTTTGTTTTAACTCTTTTATCCCTTTAATAGAGCTAAATTTAACAAAAGTAGAAGGCAGAGTGAGTGTGAGCCCCTTCACCCATGTTACTAATTCAGTCATCAAGTTTATTGTGTTATATTGAGATATGTTTTTTCCCATTCACATCTTATTTGGGTCCTACCTCCTATCATGTCTGATCATCAGCCAACATCATTGTGGCTGATGGCAAATAGAATTCTTCAACATCACATGTTCCTCGTCTGTCATGCAAGGACAGCCAAACTTAGACATAATAAAGATAGTCACGTGTAATATTTATGCGTTATCTCATTCCCACATAGAACAGCAATTTTTGTTGCAAACTCCCCAAAAATGTAAAAACAATTTTACAGTAAATATGCACATAGATAAGATGAATGAAAGACAGCCCTTTCACCTCACTTTTTAAAGAAAACTTTTACACATCTTTGGTTTTCTGAAATACAGACCTAGCTTCAGGAATAACGAGGAACAACCTACAAGGCTCTTGATTCACATTTAGTGTTGTTCTCTCCACAAAGGTTACCACTGCAGAAGTGATACACCAGAAAGTACCAGCTCAGACTATAGTTATGGTTTACATTACTACATACTGCTCCATTTTTAAAAAGCCAACATTCCTCACATGGAAGCACGTTATACCATGTGGAAATCAAGGAGAATGGCCTCTGAAGCCCCCCACTTCTGGTATAAGAATAGCAAGGGCCTACTTTCTTGTAATAGTGAACACAAAGTTTATGATGAAGAGCTCTGCAAATTAAAAGCTATAATGAAAAAGAAGCAGTGTTTTTACATCAAACCCACACAGATGTGTTCCAATATGGTTGTTTAAAACACCACCAACACACACACACACAGTTATCCTGACAGAAATTCAAAGAGGTAGGATGGTTTTTCTCCCACTTCATCGCTGCATTGGCATGTGAACAAAGACTTTTTGGCTTTTAATGAAACCTTTTGAGAGGCCTAGAGCCGAAAATGAATGTAAAAGGAAACCTGAACAAAACAAACATAACTGTATGTCATCCTGACCCATTTTGCCACAAGGCCTTTGGGGATTCACTCACCGAGAACCACCAACCCAGTTCATTTTCTTTCCTCAGAAAACACCCAGCTAGAGCAGGTGGGCCACTAGGAAGGCAACTAGCCTCCAGTCTGGCACCATTGAACCCACAGCTCCTCCTTGAGGGGGCATGGGGGGGCAAAGGCCACTGAGAGAAAAAAAGAAGGACCTCCTGCCTCCAAGACCACCAGAAGCAGCTGCACTACTGAAAGAAGGGCGTCTTGATGTCTCTTTTGTCTGTCAGCAACCACCAAGGCCTCACAGGGACTCTCAGCAGAAGGGAGGAGGAAGGTAGTATCTTAGGAGCAGACGTCAGGAAGAAATGAAAGCAGAGGGAGATGGGTTTGAGTACCAGACATGGAACTGAATGGACTGAATCTTCACTTCACACCCCTCCTTTCTGTTCAGAATTCAAACTTTATGTTTATGCCCCTTTCTAGTTCTTATATTATTCTTATTGGATATAGACATCCCTTACAGACGTTTTCAGGGCCTTATACAATATAGAAGCTGCCAATTTTCATCCCAGTAAAATGAACAGATCAACAAATCTCTCTCTCTCTCTCTCTCTCTCTCTCTCTCTCTCTCTCTCTCTCTCTCTCTCTCTCTCTCTTAAAATATTCTGGTCATCCTAGCAAATACTGCATTTTGGTGTTAACTATTCCAAATATCCTATGCAGTTTGTGTCTTACATGCCTTTATTTGACTTATGGATACCCTGATAACAGTTTTCTATGTATGTGAGATATTCGAGGAGTGGTTTTACCAATACCACCCCCTTCCCCAGCCAATTTCCTGGGCCTGAGGGGATTTGAACTCAGATCCTATCTTTCACACTGTCACTGCACCACACTGGCAGTATGCAGAATACAGACATGTTGTCTTCCATATGTTGACTTTTTGAAAGGATTATGTCTCCCTTCCCCACACACATATCTATACTTAATTGACTGTACAGTAGTGCCTGTATTATGCTGTATCTATCTCTCAGGTGTCTTTCCTCACCAACACAGTTCTCCTCACAATCCTTAATGCCCTTGGGTTCTCATTTAAAAATATATCTGCAGATGAGCCCAAAGCTCTTAGTTGAAAATTGCATAAGCTGTAATACTAAAAGTTCTTCCTGTCCCCAGTTATTTGTGTCATTTGAATCAATTGGGCTTTGAATGGCTACAATGTGGAGGCATACAAGTGGGGGTGTATTTGTGAATTTTCTAAACATTCTAATCTAGATTATGTATTTATTATTTAATATATTAAATTTGTTCTTCCTTTCTCTGAGTCACATGCAGTGACATACAGTACATTTCTGTCCCCTTACACAATGTCCTAAAACCCCTTCTGTTTTTCAATCCAGGCTTGCAAGCAGGTTTTGAAAGGCTTCAGTTTAATATTTACAAATAATTTATATTATTTAATTTACAAACCTTGGGTCATGCCTGTCTTTCACCTTCTTTGTATGAGAAACCCTTCACACATAACTCTGGTCTGTATATAGGAATCAACAGAGTGGAAATGGTGACAAAGAGAAGAGTGTTTATACAGTATTTCTGTTTTTTATATATTTCAAATGTTTTATATTAAAAGTGTTTGGGGACAAACAGAAGGTCAGATGTAGGCTTAAATTTTTTCTTGTCTCCTCAGACATTTATTTATTTATTTATTTATTTATTTATTTATTTATTTATTTATTTATTTATTTATTTATTTATATGCCACCCACACTACCCCAAGGTCTCTGGGTGGCTTACAAAAATTAAAATACAATAAAAAGTTAAGACCATTAAAATACAATTAAAGTATATACTCTAAAAATTCCCATCAAAACCCACAGTTGATATTATTTCAGTTAAAAGCCTTCTGGAACAGGAAGGTTTTGACCTGGCGCCGAAATGTCATTAGCGTCGGCGCCAGACGAATCTCAGCCGGGAGGGCAATTCCATATTCTGGGGGCAGCTGCTGAAAAGGCTGTTTGTCTACAAGCCATCCCTCTTACTTCCTTGAGGGACGGCTCTTTCAAAAGGACCCCCTGGCTAGATCTTAACTGCCGGGTAGGCTTATATGGAAGGAGGCAGTCCTTCAGGTATCCAGGGCCCAAGCCGTTTAGGGCTTTATATGTTAAAACAAGCACTTTGAATTGGGCCCAGGCAGCAACTGGTAACCAATGTAATTTAAGCAGAATCAGCTTGATACGTCCCCTAGCGGCCCCACCACTCACCAGCCACGCAACTCAATTCTGGACCAGTTGCAGTTGCCGGACCGTCTTCAAAGGCAGCCCCACGTAGAGCACATTGCAGTAATATATGTGAGATATTACCAGTGTGTTTGTAACTGTCATGAGAATCCACTCGTCCAGGTAGGGCTGTGGCTGTACAATTTCCGCAGATGAAGGAAGGCACCCCTAGCCACCGAGTCCACTTGGGCTTCCAGAGTTAGACTGGGGTCAAGGAGCACAGTGGAGAAAATGAGCCGTAAATAAACCATAGTTTGGAGCTGCTCCAGATTTTTTTTTTCTGGTACAGCTATTTCAAAACATAGTTCTGATAGTTTAGAGTGGTTTCACTTGCATTCCATTACCAGGCATGCATATTCTAAGGTAAAATCCCCTATATTCAATTGAGCTTAATCTCAAGTAACCATGGTCAAAGTTTCAGTCTCTAAAGATGAGATCTTCCTTCTATTATTATTTCTCTGTGTAGTGCCATGGCTGCACACTATCTCTATCCCAGTAAAAGATGAGGCAATTCATATGCATCATAGGATAAAATATATATAACAACAAATTCTTTTGTGGCACTTTTGGGGCAGTGGTGGGGCATGTCCTAAACACATTGAGGGCGATGTCTTCATTGGGGCAGGGTGTGATGGTTCAGCATTCCTTCCTTTCACGTTCATTTCTATAGGGTTGACACTTATCTGTTTTTTTTATTATTACTATTTTTAAAAATGTTACTAGTTTAGCACTACATCAGATAAGTGATGTACTGCTAATCCAGAAGCGACTATGTCTTCTCAGTTCAATGTTATGTCATTTCATAAACTGAAAAAGCAGAAGAGGGTGCAGGGAAGGGGGTAGGGATAATGGTATAGGTATAGGAGGATGTGGCATACTGCAGAGAGATACAGACCTAATGTGACCTTCTATATTATGGATATCTGAAACACATCTTCCTTAGATAATTAAACATTTCTGAATGAACAGCAACCATTTCAACTGGCACAAAATTCCATGGTCCAGTATAGAAAACTATATCTCAGCATAAGATAACTTCCTGCTGATACAGGAGGGGGAAGAAACCATATTTTAATTTGTGTCTCTGCAGTATTTCTCCATTTCTTTTCCTGTATTTTTTCACTGTCCATGCATTTACAATTACTAGGCCTTCTAGGCCCCAACTTTGGAAACTCACAAGCCATTCACACCTAGGTCACATCCAGCCTATTGCATTACCTGATAGTATTTATGGCCTATTTAGAAAAACAAAAGGACCCTCTATTCAGCCCAAACCTGCCACCTGCCAGTAACAGGTAACCCAAATGCCCTGGCATTGGAATGTCGAGGGCAGGAAGGCCGAGCTAATTATTGTAACAAGTACCCGTGAATCACCATTTGAAGGGCATACATGGAAACCCAGGAAGAAACATACATAAAGATATCAATAAGATAAGAGAATGGATACTCCTGCTCCCAGACTGAGGTGCATCCTCCGTACAAGGTCAAGGAAACATGAGAGCACAGAATGCATATTTTCTTCTAACCAATAGATTGGCTGAATTGACATCACAGATCCAATCAGGTTTGGATCCAAAGTTGGGGTATAGATGACCAATAGAAATGTAGTGTTTTATAACTCTTTGTATCATTATAAAATGTACGTACATGCATCTACTTTCTCTGCTTTTAAGAGAAGGCCCAGCTGAACTTTTGTACTTTGGCTCTTCAGTATAATTTGGCTTATAGTTCAGCTGCCTTGCGTCTTAGCCTGATTCCTCGCCGGAATAATTGGGACCCCAAAGTACCAGGTAATGCTGCCTCGTCACTCCCTAGAGGGGCAGATAGACAAGGTGCCCTGGACATATTCAGTGTGTTTTTCTGACCTCTGCTTTCTCCCCTCCTTATCAGAGAGAAGCATTTTTTGTCCCTTCTCCCCTCTCTGCCAGCACATCTTACCAACAATGGAAATAGGCAGTTTTACATTTTAAAAAGCAAAGGTGTAATTGATGTTTATTTACCAAGCAAAAGGAAGCAGGAGACCAAGGATACTAGGTGCTGACTCCAGCCATAGAGCTAGCCAATAGTAAAAGCATTGTTTACAGAGCGACAGCATAATACTGAAGCTTTGAGGAGGAATGTACAGTACAGTGATTTCACATGAAATTCAAAAGAAGAGAAAACACTAGTTTCTTATATTATCTCATATACAATTTAATTTAAATATATTGGACTACATCTTCCATAATTCACAGCTGCTAAGGCAAGGATTTAGGGATTAGGTTGTTCTTAGTGTTCCTCGACAGCATCTTAAAAAGCAGAAACATCACCTTGCCAACAAAAGTACGCATAGTCAAAGCTATGTTTTTTTCAGTAGTGATGTATAGAAGTGAGAGCTGGACCATAAAGAAAGCTGACCACAGAATAATTGATACTTTTGAACTGTGGTGCTGGAGGAGGCTCTTGAGAGTCCCCTGGACTGCAAGGAGAACAATCCTATCCATTTTGAAGGAAATCAACCCTGAGTGCTCACTGGAAGGACAGATCCTGAAGCTGAGGCTCCAATACTTTGGCCATCTCATGAGAAGAAAAGACTCCCTAGAAAAGACCCTGAGGTTAGGAAAGTGTGAAGACAAGAGGAGAAGGAGACGACAGAGGATGAGATGGTTGGACAGTGTCATTGAAGCTACCAACATGAATTTGACCCAACTCCGGGAGGCAGTGGAAGACAGGAGGGCCTGGCGTGCTCTGGTCCATGGGGTCATGAAGAGTAGGAGATGACTAAATGACTAAACAACAAGAACAGAATATTATTAGTTGGCGATTCTTTGTATTGCATGTCCATTTGGCGGAACACAAAGTATTGTATTATAGTGCTGTGCGATGCTTTTTAATTTTCCCTTGTATATGTGGTATTTTAGT